TTTCAAAAAGGCCCCCCCCCCCCCCCCCCCGCATGGAGAATTTTGTGGGGGGAAGAGGAGGGACTTCCAGTGGCACAGGTCAGGGGTTAAGGGGTGGGACTTCAATCCCAAGATGATGACCAGGGGGTGGGGTACCTGTCAAGGATAGGGGCTGCCCTTGCGGCCCTTGACATCTCACCAAAAGTCGCTAAGTGGCCCTCCAGCCAAGATAATTGCCCACCCTCGGGATAGGGGATAAAGGGCAGTATGCGGTAATTATTCCTTATTTCCTCCCCACCACTAGTCTGAGATGCAGTACTTTGTTGGTTTCTATCAGTTTAAGCCTAACACTTGTTATCTAGAGGGTGGAACATTTATAGTCTCATCTGGTATTGCATTCGTCAGTGCTGACAAATGCCAATGAGAAGACAAAGAGCTGAAAAGACTGGACTATTTCAGAAACAGGTCATTTGTCCATGAGCCTACAATTTAGGATAACAAATTATCCAGTGCTGTTTGCCCACTACAGTTTAAGTCCATGAATGTATTCTAAACCTGGCAGAGATACTCTCAAGACAGTCTATGGTACCCTTGCTTTTTGAGGGCCATTTGATGGCACAGGCAGGCTTATGGGAAGTATTAGATGCAGCTAATGCTGCTTCCAGCTCAGAGGCTTCAGCCGTGCTTATAGACTCTGGAACCACTCTTTGGTTCTTTTATCTGTGCATCAAAGCCACTGTTTTTCATGCATATATATCCAAAAATTCCAGCCTTGAACTTCTCTGAGGCAGTGGTTAATCAGCTACAAGCTTTCAGGCACATATGTCTCAGTTTGTACACTGACAATTCACATCACTTAGGAAGGATTAAAAAAGCACACAAACAAAAACAGTTGTTTACAGTCCACTTTTCATTTCCCCAGAACCCCTGCCTCCAGATAGCCCTGGTGACTGAATCATTAAAGCCCCTAAGTATAGACAGTAAAAAAGCCCAAGGCTGAATCAATTCATTCTTTGCAGGTTAGTCTAAGTTGCACAGATTAAATTGAAACAGAAGTGAACAGACAGGAAATTCAGGAAATGCAGCTACGTGCCTGGAGTGGCTCAGGCCAGAAGCCAGAGGGTGCTAGAGTTCGGCTCTCTGGTTGCACGTTCACGTCCTCTTCCTGCTGTCCTTGAGGTCTCTTGGATTTGCAGTCCAGAATTACAGCAGCAGGACCCTGCAGGGTTGCTCATCAATTCCTTTTCCTGCTTCCAGGTGCCTCTGGGATTTACAGTCCACAGTTGCATCCAGCAGTAAATTTGAGTAAGGGAAGGGGTGTTTAACCCACCTCCCTGGCACCAGATTCCACCTGAGGTTTGCCTGTGGTGTGGGAAGGGGGAAGTCCCTTCCTGTTTCCTCCCGTCCCCCTCATAGATTGGGCTGCTAGCTGGTCTCACCAGTTTTAAAACTGGTTTATGTGCACTGTGCTTTTGTTCTGTTACAGATTTAAACCAGTTTGTGTAACTTCTGTCCCAAGCCTAGATGTAAGATACCTGCTTTGCAACCTTCCTTCTCCAAACCATGCAGGTTAATAACATGTTTGAGTTCTGGTAACAAATGGTCATTCAGTCCTTCTTTCCATCCCTTTCCAGGGACCTTTCTCATCATGACAGACTGGCATGAGATGGCCAATGTCTTCTATTGGCTTTGGGGGCAATAGAAAAGTTACCCCACAACTTGGAGGAAAGGGTTTTACAGCAGTTATTTCCTGATTCCAAAACTAAAGGAAAGATAGTGACTCTGGCAGTGGTCATACAGGATGAGATACATTCAGGGAATGGTTTTGTACTCCTTGACTTGAAGGATACATACTTTTACATTGCCACAAGGCCTTTCTGCAGGAAGTACCTTTTGGTTATTGGATCAGGACTAGAGGTCTTAGCATCTAAAGAGAGTGTGGCCACAACACTCCCCAACCCCTCTCCCCCACCAATCTGTCCCTGCTTATCAGTAGCTGGAGTCCTCTGGGATGTGTTATCCTCATACACACTTGAATTCAGCACTCTTTCTGAGTCAAATGAAAAGAAACTGAGGAGCAGGAAGTAGGCCTTATCCGCTCAGCTCAGGGCATCAGAGGACACTGGGCCAGTGTGTGTCCTTCCAGTGCTGCTACAGCAAAAAAGTCTTTTGATAGGTGGCTCAGGGCATGAGCAGTATGCACAAGTGAGAGCATGTAGGTGTGCAAGAAGAACTCCAGTTACTGGTAAATAACCTTTGTTTTTTTCCTTTAATGTTTTTGTTTTGGTTTTCATATGAGAACCATACTTCAGTAGGGTATCACCTATGAAAGCTTATGAATTTCTGACCTCTGTGCCACTGCGTCCTCCCTTCTGCCTGAACTTCAGAGTAACATGGCTAACCACCTCTCTTATCTTTTGGTTTGAATTTATATAAGGGTTGTTTTGCCTTTATTTCATATCAGAATATCACAAATAATATGTAATACAATGCAAATAAAAGCCTGCATTCTTGGAAAATTATAAGAAGATTGTTTTCCCTGTGCTAGTTATGCCTTGGAAAAAATCCTAAAATCTACTGCCCAAATAATGAGAAGTGGGAGTTATGAGGGAATGGGTCACACTGTTTATTTTAAAGATGAGAAACTCCTATATGAAGTCTCATGGTGCCAGGTAGAGCCATTTCCTTTTTTTCCTGGTCTCTTTTGCTCCCTCTTTATTGGGCCTTACAAAATGGTGCAACTCTGGCTATAGGGAAAGAGAAAGTCCTATGTCTGGGTCATAAAAATAAAAGCTACCTGTAGCAAACACTCCAGAGAACATGAACTCAGTTGGGAAGTCGGATTTTCTGGTGGTTGACATTAGGGTTACCCAGAACTTTTGGAGAGCTCTTATCTCATTCTCATTTGCCATTGTTTTATAGCTTTGGAAAAAGCACTGGGGTCAAGTGACCCCAGCCATGTACATGTCTAACCTCCTCTTGAACACCTCCAAGGTAGGGGAAAGCACTGCTTCCTTTGGAAGCCCATTCCATATTTTGGCAACCCTCACTGTAAAGAGTTTTTTTTTCCTGATGTCCACTCTTGTTGTGCATGGACTTTACTACCTGTGGTCCTTTTAAAGTGTTTGGTTACCCTTCAGATTAAGGAGGAGCTCAGTCCATGGCTAGAATGCCATGGAAGTGTTGGGCAGGTTTGTTACTCCATGACATCTTTGGGAAATTGGTGTAGGATACCACCTTTTGGAATAGCTTTTACAATGCTTTCTTGGAATAAGAGGCAGCCTATGTGTCTGGAGTGGCATGGAGGATCACTAAATATCTTTTGGTTGCAGGCACACTTGTTTTAAACTGCATTAGACCTGTCAGTGTTTGTGTCGTGGAAGGCCACAGAAATGCTGCCTTTCCTTTTTCATGTTCTTTTGTGACAAGGCATTTAGCAGAATTGGTGGAATCTGACAGGGCCACTCCATGAGTCCTTCTACTATGGCCTCAAACTTGCAATCTCTGGGCTGTTAACTGTGTGTCTTAGCACCTGCACCACCCCAGTCCCTGCAGAAATATTTGCCCTTGAAGAAATACTTAAGCCAGGTCTATGCTTGCTGGTTCTGGAATGCAAGCATTATAGTTGTGTTAATATGGTGTTATGCTTGGGCTAATTAATGCTGCTGAGAAACACAAAAAATGACTCTCATTACTAAGAGCAACTTTGATAAAGCAGTACAAAACCAAAAAAATTTTTCATGAAAATTTAAACAGTACAAGGTTTTAGAAGTGAAATACATCTGCACATATTTCTTTATTGTAACAATAAGTGAAATGAAAATGGACTTAAATATTTCATAGATTTCATAGACATTAGGGCTGGAAGGGACCTCGGAAGATCATCAAGTCCAGCCCCCTGCCCAAAGGGCAGGAAGTCAGCTGGGGTCATAGGATCCCATAAGCATCCAATTTGCTCTTGAAGGTGTTCAATGTAGGTGCTTGAACCACTTCCAATGGCAGGCTGTTCCAGACCTGGGGGGCTCGGACAGTAAAGAAATTCTTCCTTATGCCCAGCCTGAAACGGTCTTGCAGTAGTTTGACTGTTTAACCTAGTCATCCCTTGGGGTGCTCTGGTGAACAAACGTTCCCCCAGATCCTGGTAGTCACCCTGATAAACTTATAGGTGGCTGTCAGATCACCCCTGAGCCTGCGCTTTTCCAGGCTAAAGAGCCCCATGGCTCTCAGCATGTCTGCTTTCCTGACCTCTGATCATGCGCATAACTCTTCTCTGGATTCTCTCAAGCTTCTCCACATCCTTTTTGAATTGTGGAGCCTAAAACTGGATGCAATACTCCAGCTGCGGCCTCACCAAGGCCGAGTACAGGGGGAGAAGGACATCCTGGGATTTGCTTGAGAAGCACCTATGGATGCAAGCCAGCATTTTGGTCGCTTTACTAGCCGCAGCATCAGATTGCAGGCTCATGTTCATCTTGTGGTCAGTCATGACCCCCAAGTCTCTTTCTCCCGTAGCGCTAGCCAGTGTAGCACTGCTGAGCCTATAAGGATGCTGCAGGGTTTTTTCCCAAGGTGGAGAAGCTTGGTGGAAATTTAATTTACAGGCAGGAGGAACTACAAATAAATTAAACATTGAAAATATGAGAGATGATTGATTAATTTTGAGATACTGAGTGAACAAAAATAAATCAAGGAAAAAATAGTTTAAAAGTTACTAAAATGAATACAAGACTGATATACGTGAACTAAAAAAAAAAAAGTTTGCACTTAAAATGCTGGCATTTCCTTTGCTTTGTTCAGACAGAGCTTAAAATGGCAGGCCATTCTTCACTGTTATGTAAAAGTCTGTGGATTAAAAGAGAGAATATTAAATGTATAGTTAGGAGCTTAATCCTTAATGTTTTGACTCAAATATGTGCTATCTGATTGAGTTTTTTAAAAAAAAATAAGGGTGAAGTTCTTTTGTTTACTGCTGTTACATTCTGGTAAATACCTGCTACTCATTAGTGAACATACTTCCTCCAATTTATGTTCCTGTTTGCAATATGTAAACAGTTATGGGGCTTTTTGGTTTGTTGGTGTTTTCTTTTGTGCAAACAGCCTTTTTAACCGTGAATGAAATTAGTAGCAGAGGAAGCTTATTTATAATAGGAATAATATTTTTCTCCAAATCCACTTTAATGCCTAAGATATATTGTTGCTTTCCATTCTTTTACTTGCTAATACCTTATCCTTTAAAAGAATCAATAAGAAAACATGTGACCTGTTGTCTGTATTATCTAACCTATTATAGCAAAAGTACATTCATAGAATCATAG